GAACATAATAAAGTAATACGATTATGGTAGGCTATGGCATATTTGCTGAAATGTTTATTGTTGATGATTTACAGTGGGTAACAAATGTCAAAATATAATCCACGCCTTTGATAGTCCTTGAAAAATTATTTTTTTGGTAAGTCCATGCCTTTGATAGTCCTTGAAAAAATATTTTTTGATAAGTCCAGCCTTTGATAGTCCTTGAAAAAATATTTTTTGATAAGGCTAGCCTTTGATAGCCCTTGAAAAAATATTTTTTGATAAAGCCAGTCTTTGATAGTCCTTGGAAAAATTTTTTTAAACATCCACGCCTTTTGGTAGTCCTTGAAACAATATTTTGTAAAACTCCACGCCTTTGGAAGTCCTTGAATTGTGTTTAAATCCATGCCTTTAATAGTCCTTGAAAACATATTTTTTGGAAAATCCACACCTTCGATAGTCCTTAAAAAATATTTTTTAAAAAATCAATTTGTCATTGAAAAAAAAATAATTCTTAAAAATACACGCCTTTGATAGCCCTTGAAAAGAAAATATTTTTTGATTTATATTTTTTAAGGAATCTATGCCAATTATAGTCTTTGAAAAAAAACATAATTTTAATATCCCCATAATTTTTCCCCAGTGTTTCCCCATGCCTTGAATATGCGTCTTGACTCTATCTGCCCATTCCTGCCAATCTCATAATATATTCTAAAATTTGTTGTATGCATATTTACCCTGCCTACCGAATATTAATCATTATGCCTTGGAAATATATTTTGTGTGACATTGGCAAACAATGTCGTGATGATAGATGAAAAGCATTCATGTTTGCCTTTTAATGTTTCCCAATCATACACAACTTGAATTTGTACACAATAACACCAAGCGGTACTGTTCTATGACACAAATGAACAAATTTCATATAAATCATTTAGATTCAACAAAAATCCACACCCACACACATGCATATGAATAATATATGCACACAATTGTGATTTACATAACACACATATCATCATCATCATTTGTCATTTATTCTTGCTTTCTGCTGGGTCCACACAAATGAGTTTCTCTGTTTAACTCAATGGGTGGCTGGCTGATTGGCCACATATATTGGCTACAGGAAAATCGGCTGGCAGGATGACAGGCTATCCCAAATACACAACAGTTATGGCATTGGTGATATCAGGATGGAACACACGTGTGTGTGTGTCTTCCCTGTGTAAATACATCCTTACATAAATCACAGTCGGGGGTTCCGAAAATTTTCAAACATTTCGACGAATAATTAATGATACTTTGTTTGGCAATATTTGGTTGGAATGGTCGGTCGGTCGCTGTCGGTCGCTTTACCAAAAAATCACTTGCCAATTGTTTATTTAATTTTGTAACAATTTCCCAGATTTGTTAAATCCCTGCAAGCAAAAACTATCGCGGAAGTTACGTCGAAGTAACGTCAGGGCGATACAAGATAATATCATTCTTATCGCGGAAGTCACCTCCTTCGGGAAGAAATGAACCACGTCCGCGTCACTTCCAAGAAGTAACTTCTGCGTAACGTCTAGAAGTAACTTCCGCGATACTACGCATATGACACGCAGAAGTTACTTCTTGGAAGTGGCGCGGAAGTGGTTCATTTCTTCCCGAAGGAGGTGACTTTAAGAATGCGATGTCTTCCAAGTTTCTATCGCCCTGACGTTACTGAAACTTCCTCGTCACTTCTAGTAGGCATAATATTTTCAATATTACATTATTTATTCACTGAAACAACTTATTGATTAAATAAATTAACAATTTTCAAATTATTTTATTTATTTTTTCACACACCCACATTCAAAACATAAAATACAAACTTTTAACAATCACAATATAAATAAAAATTTCTGTTTTTTTTTTGTATTTTCTTTACGCTTTTTTAATTATTTAAATATCACACTGTTGATACATACAGATCACTTTGAACAATTAACATTAACTGAGTTGATTTATATGTTTTCTCCTCTAACTGTTTTTACAAGGATATGAGAGACAATTTAGAAAGAGAGCAAATTGTTTTTGTAGCATTTGATCAATCTTCTTTTGTCTTCCTAGGCGTCACTCAGAAGTAACTCAAAGGCGATATAAAGTAGAGAAGAACAGTTTTGTTATTGTAATTATACAAACTATCGCCTTTTATCCGAAAAGAAGTGACGCGGAAGTGACTTATTGGGCGAGGGAGTGAGAAACTCACTTCCAATTGCTTGCAGGGATATTTTCCGACATAATATCGTTCATCATGTGTGAGTTGTTACCGATGCTGTTGTTCTTTCGTATGACAACAGACACGTGACATAATGTCAGCATCTGAATCCGATATTTACTTATGTACAAGAAACGTGTTTGAATTGTGTAATGATATTAACGAGGAAATTAAATAAAAATGTCGAAATCATTGTTGAAGATAAAAAAAATATTAAAAAAACACGCCTACGATAGTCACTGAAAAATATTAAAAAGATAATATGTATACAAAAGATAAAAAACATTAAAAAAAATAAACAAATAAAAATTTGTTAATAATCTATGCCAATTATTGTATTCTATAAGATATTTAAATCCACGTCTGAGATAGTCCTTGAAAAAAAAAATAAATCCACGTCTGAGATAGTCCTTGAAAACATATCCTTTAAAAATCCACGACTGAGATAGTCCTTGAAAACATATCCTTTAAAAATCCACGTCTGAGATAGTCCTTGAAAACATATCCTTTAAAAATCCACGACTGAGATAGTCCTTGAAAACATATCCTTTAAAAATCCACGTCTGAGATAGTCCTTGAAAACATATCCTTCAAAAATCCACGACAGAGATAGTCCTTGAAAACATATCCTTTCAAAATCCACGTCTGAGATAGTCCTTGACAACATATCCTTTAAAAATCCACGACTGAGATAGTCCTTGAAACCATATCCTTTAAAAATCCACGTCTGAGATAGTCCTTGCCAAAATATATTTTAAAAATCGACGCCTCAGATAGTCCTTAAGAAAATATATTTTAAAAATCGACGCCTCAGATAGTCCTTGAGAAAATATATTTTAAAAATCTACGCCACAGATAGGCCTTGAGAAAATATATTTTAAAAATCTACGCCTCAGATAGTCCTTGAGAAAATATATTTAAAAATCTACGCCTCAGATAGTCCTTGAGAAAATATATTTTAAAAATCTATGCCACAGATAGTCCTTGAGAAAATATATTTTAAAAATCCACGCCTCGAATAGTCCTTGAAAACTATTTTTTTTTAAATCCACGCCTCGAATAGTCCTTGAAAAACTATTTTTTTTAATTCAAGCTTCGAATATTCCTTCAAAAACTATTTTTTTTTTAAATCCACGCCTCAGATAGTCCTTGAGAAATATATTTTAAAAATGTACACCTCGAATAGTCCTTGAGAAAATATATTTTAAAAATCTACGCCTCAGATAGTCCTTGAGAAAATATATTTTAAAAATCTACGCCTCAGATAGTCCTTAAGAAAATATATTTTAAAAATCTACGCCTCAGATAGTCCTTGAGAAAATATATTTTAAAAATGTACACCTCGAATAGTCCTTGAAAAACTATTTTTTAAAAATCCACGCCTCGAATAGTCCTTGAAAACATATCCTTTAAAAATCCACGCCTCAGATAGTCCTTGAAAACATATCCTTTAAAAAATCCACGCCTCGAATAGTCCTTGAAAACCCGTTCTTTAAAAATCCACGTCTCGAATAATCCTTGAAAAACTATTCTTTTAAAAATCCACGCCTCGAATAGTCCTTGAAAACTATTTTTTAAAAATCCATGCCTCGAATAGTCCTTGAAAACTATTTTTTAAAAATCCACGCCTCAAATAATCCTTGAAAAACTATTTTTTAAAATAAAAATCCACGCCTCGAATAGTCCACGACTTCGACATTTCTGTATTAATTTGTGAAACCGCACCTTGAACAACGCCTTGTGGATCCTTGAAAAAAATCTTTAAAAAATCAACACCTTGGATATCCTTAAAAAATATTATAAAAAAGTCCAAGACTCAGGGCCAAAAAATATATATGCACGACTTGCTGCTCCTTGAAAAGATGTTTCTAAAAAATTCGTGCCCTTGATATAAATGTTTCATAAAATTGTAAATGTTTGAAAAAAATCCTGATTCGTGCTTGGTTTGTTGTTTAATAAATCACAATCTTTATGACAATATTTATGTATAATAATACCCAATAATTTCATTAAATATCCTTAAATGACTTTAACTATATCAACATAATAATGCTGTCAATTAAGTGTATGTATAAATCCCGTCCATTGGTTCATAATACGAATATATCAAATCCACAATGGCATAACCATTATTGTCTTGTGTGTATTTGTACGCATTTCAATACTAAATCACGTTCACATTCCATATTCAGATTGTAAATGACGTTCTTTGTGTTCACACACAGACACACCGTATTTGATTTGATGTAGTTATGTATATTTGTGTACCTTTTACAATACCAACCGCAATTCTCAAATGAATGTCAAAAAATTGTTTTCGATCAAATTAATTCAATTATGTTTGTCTTGCATGTGTAATGATGGTGAGGATGATGCTGATCATCGTCAGCCTCACCATCAGCCGTCACACTGGCAATGTTAAATATGTAACGCACTTTGAACTGTAAACCGCATTAAGCACACATCTACACACATACTCACTCACATATACGCATTCCCACATATGCATATGAAATCTTATATTTGGTAATTTACTTACAATCCAATGCACAGGCACGTATCCACACTACCACAAACACATCCACTTTTATATTAACCCAACTATATTCACCTACACGCACCGTTCCGCACACACCCATAAGTACATTCACTCCTTCACACACACGTACACTCACAAAAATCATTTCGCGTATTTTACAAAATGTTAACCACAATCAACTTATATGTATGCCTTACTTTCTCTCTTCCTCCCACACCCCACCATTCCCCCTTTTTACAGAGTGATTCCGAATGCAATTCCCTGAATATGAACTCAACCGAAAATGAAGTTCCTGAAGTGGAATCGTCAAGTGAAATAATGGTCGACGATAACAAGCCCATAAATTCCAATGATGAAAGTTGGACAGATGTCAATTTGAATGAAGACGCCAGTGTACAGGCCACGGCCACGGGTATTATAATGCCCGGCGCATCCGGTGTCGATGGTAAAATGCGTGGCGATGACAGCGGCATGCATTCGCTGCACGCCGGCCACATGCAACACTCTCAGCATGGCAGTGAACGTGGTGACAAACCGGATTCGGAAATATCCGTGGTACGTGTACCCGATGGCTATGCCAATTCCGGCAATTCGTCTGGCAACTCCGGTAATGCGGGTGTTCAGCGTGGCTCCCGGCCCGATGATCTGCCCATGAAACCTCCACTTGTGGGTCAGCTGCCCATGACCACTCCCTCTCGCGAGGCCAGTTTAACACAGAAACTCGAAGTGGCCCTGGGTCCCGTTTGCCCCTTGCTGCGAGAAATCATGGTGGACTTTGCCCACTATTTGTCGAAGACATTGGTCGGCTCCCACGGCCAAGAATTGCTGATGGAGGGCAAAGGCCTTACCACTTTCAAGAACTCCCACTCGGTGGTGGAATTGGTAATGTTGCTTTGCTCCCAGGAATGGCAGAATAGTTTGCAAAAACATGCCGGCCTCGCCTTTATCGAACTGATCAATGAGGGCCGCCTGCTTTCGCATGCCATGAAGGATCACATTGTACGTGTAGCCAATGAGGCCGAGTTCATATTGAATCGTATGCGTGCCGATGATGTTCTCAAACATGCCGATTTCGAGTCACAATGTGCCCAGACCCTGTTGGAACGTCGCGAAGAGGAGCGTATGTGTGATCATTTGATCACGGCGGCAAGGCGTCGTGACAATGTCATTGCTAGCCGCCTGTTGGAGAAGGTCCGCAACATAATGTGCAATCGTCATGGAGCCTGGGGTGATTCCAGCGGCTCGGTACAGAAACAAACCTATTGGAAACTGGATGCCTGGGAAGATGATGCCCGCCGGCGCAAACGCATGGTCCAAAATCCCCGTGGCTCATCACATCCTCAGGCCACGCTCAAAGCTGCCTTAGAAAATGGTGGTCCCGAAGATGCCATCCTCCAGACCCGTGATGAATTCCACACACAAATTGCTGTCAGTCGTGCCCATCAAGCTACCCAACACACTGCCGATTTACTCGACGATGCCGAGCTGTTGATCGAAGATCGCGAATTGGACCTGGATCTGACTGGACCTGTAAATATTAGTACGAAAGCTAAGCTGATTGCTCCTGGTTTGGTGGCACCCGGCACTGTGTCCATTACCAGCACCGAGATGTTCTTCGAAGTCGATGAAGATCATCCTGATTTCCAGAAGATCGAACCCGAGGTACTGAAATATTGTGATCACCTACATGGCAAATGGTATTTCTCCGAGGTGAGAGCGATCTTCTCGCGTCGCTACTTATTGCAAAATGTTGCCTTGGAAATCTTTTTGGCCTCCCGCACCTCCATACTGTTCGCCTTCCCCGACCAACACACCGTGAAGAAGGTCATCAAGGCCCTGCCACGAGTTGGTGTGGGCATCAAGTATGGCATACCGCAGACCAGACGAGCTTCGATGATGTCGCCACGTCAGTTGATGCGTAACTCGAACATGACTCAGAAATGGCAGCGTCGTGAAATCTCCAACTTCGAGTATCTAATGTTCCTCAATACCATAGCAGGTCGCACATACAACGATTTAAACCAATACCCCATATTCCCCTGGGTCCTGACCAACTACGAAACCAAAGATCTGGATTTAAGTCTGCCCTCGAACTACCGGGATCTCTCGAAGCCGATTGGCGCCCTCAATCCCTCACGCCGAGCCTACTTCGAGGAGCGTTACGAGTCGTGGGAAAGTGATACAATACCTCCATTCCATTACGGTACACATTATTCCACCGCTAGCTTTACTCTCAACTGGTTGGTGAGAGTAGAACCGTTCACCACAATGTTCCTGGCCTTGCAGGGAGGCAAATTCGATTATCCCGATCGTTTGTTCTCCTCGGTGAATTTGTCATGGAAGAATTGCCAACGGGATACCTCGGATGTAAAGGAGCTAATACCCGAATGGTATTTCCTGCCGGAAATGTTCTACAACTCGTCTGGCTATCGACTGGGTCATCGCGAAGACGGAGCCTTGGTAAATGATGTAGAGCTGCCGCCATGGGCCAAGACACCCGAAGAGTTTGTGCGCATCAACCGCATGGCTTTAGAATCGGAATTCGTCTCGTGCCAACTGCATCAATGGATTGATTTGATATTTGGCTACAAGCAACGTGGTCCCGAGGCAGTCCGAGCCACCAATGTATTCTATTATTTGACCTATGAGGGTAGTGTCGATCTGGATGCCATTGCCGATCCGGTTATGCGTGAAGCGGTCGAGAATCAGATACGCAATTTTGGTCAGACACCAAGTCAACTGTTGATGGAGCCACATCCACCACGCAGTTCTGCCATGCATCTGTCACCGATGATGTTTAGTGCCATGCCCGATGATTTGTGTCAAATATTGAAATTCTATCAGAATTCCCCCATTATTCACATCTCGGCCAATACGTATCCACAGTTGTCGTTGCCATCGGTGGTGACAGTGACGGCAGGACATCAATTTGCGGTGAATCGTTGGAATTGTAATTATACAGCGTCCGTCCAAAGTCCCAGCTATGCGGATTCAAATCAACAGCAGGGTGCCGTTAAGCCATTGGCCATCGATCCAGTTTTAAGTGAGTATTTAAAATAGAATAAGAAGATGGGCAAATGAGGTGAAAGGCCAGGAATGCAGGATATTAATGGTATTTCTGTTTTGTTTGTTTCGTTTCTCCCTCCTCAGCAGCTGCTCAAAATACCACCCACAACAATCCCATGAATCGTCGACATTTGGGTGATAATTTCAGTCAAATGTTAAAGATTCGTTCCAATTGTTTTGTGGTCACAGTGGATAGTCGTTTCCTTATTGCCTGCGGCTTTTGGGATAATAGTTTCCGGGTATTCAATACTGAATCGGGTAAGTTGAGAAGAGAATTTCACAAGCTGGAGAATATTTTGTATAATATATTTATTTTTAATTTGTAATTGCAGCTAAAATTGTACAAATCGTCTTTGGCCATTTCGGTGTGGTCACCTGTCTGGCCCGTTCCGAATGCAACATCACCTCGGATTGTTATATTGCATCGGGTTCGGCAGATTGTACAGTACTTCTATGGCATTGGAATGCCCGCACACAAAGCATTGTCGGTGAGGGTGATGTACCAACACCACGTGCCACTCTGACGGGCCACGAACAGGCTGTAACATCGGTTGTGATTAGTGCTGAACTGGGTTTGGTTGTATCCGGATCAACAAGTAAGTTGAAAAGAATACCAAATGGTGGGGAGACTCATGTGGAAAGGGGGAAATTATGTTGTAATGATTTTTTATTAATACAATTTTTTTTTATTTTTCCCGTCCCTTTTGTAGATGGTCCCGTTCTTATCCACACCACCTTTGGCGATCTGTTACGTTCTCTGGACGCTCCCATGGATTTCCATTCGCCGGAATTAATAGCCATGTCCCGCGAAGGTTTCATTGTCGTCAACTATGACAAGGGCAATGTGGCCGCCTATACCATCAACGGCAAAGAACTTAGACATGAAACACACAATGATAATTTACAGGTAAGAAGGGGCAGATTTGTCGCTTTTTTAATATTTTGAAAAATTTCAACCAATTTAATTTGGGAGTTTTTATTTCTTTGTCCTATTTCAAATTTATATTTTAACTATTTCTCGTTTTTTCTTTTCTCCTTTTGCAGTGCATGCTGTTATCACGTGACGGTGAATATTTAATGACAGCCGGCGATCGTGGTATTGTTGAAGTGTGGCGCACCTTCAACTTGGCACCACTGTATGCCTTCCCCGCCTGCAATGCGGGAATTCGATCTTTGGCACTGACACATGATCAAAAGTAAGTAAACGAAATAAATGATAAATTTAATATTTCAATACCTGAAAACGCCAAATCATGGTGGGTGCTTTAAAAATACTAAAAATCGGTCAGGATGAAAGTAATATTAAGATGTGCAAAGTTTGGAAATCGGTTACTCTCTTCGAGAGTTACCGTGCACACTCACCAGACATTTGTAAGTCGCCTCCAAATTATCTGATACGGAAACATGGGTCTAAAAAATATTTCGATGGGGCACATAGTCAATTTCAAATGGCAATAACTCGCCGATGAATGGAGATATTCGGATGACTATTGGATAAGGGGAGTAATGTAGTTTTAATGCATATCAATAACTTATGAGCAAAATTTTTAACTTCGCATTTGTTTAAATTTTTACAAAAATACCACGAGTGGATTTCTTTAAGGCAATTTTTATGTACCGATAGGGCGGAGTCCTACATGGGTTAGAAAAAGCGGCTAAGCCTCTCAAACTAGCAAAAATGAAGCGGGACTTTTATATTGGTGATATGTCACAACAAAAGAAAATATTGCTCACCCTCAAATAACCTTATATACCAAATTACAGCCCTTTAGTAGAAAACCCGGTTATAACATACAAAATTCAGGAAATTAGGCGGGACATTAATATGGAGACTATGTCCAAACATGGACCGATATTGAATATTTTGGCAAATATTAGGTTGAGAAAAAGAAATCCATTGGGCCCGTCGAAAATGTCGATAAAATCGGAGAAATGATCGAAGTTGACCGGCATGTTAGCAGTCGTAACATCGCTCAGGGGCTAAAAATCGTCATTAAAAATGTTTTAAACCATTTACACAAATTTGTATTCAAAAAGAAGCTCGATGTTTGGGTGCCACTCCAATTAAGAGAAAGAAATAGGAATGAGATATACCCATTTCTGAAACGGATGGTGACTGGAGATGAGAAGTGGATCTCATGCGATAACCTTGTGTGAAAACGATCTTAGTCAAAGAGCGGTGAAGCACCTCCAATGGTGGCCAAACCAAGACTAACGGCCAGGAAGGCTATGTATTTGATGGGACTGGAAGGGGATTTTTTATTATGAGTTGCTTCCATATGGCCAAACGCTAAAAAACTGGATCGTTTGAAGATAGCAATTGTCCAGAAACGGCCAGAATTAGCCAACAGGAGTGGTGTCTTGTTCCACCACGACAACGCTAGGCCACACACATCTACAGGGACTCGCCAGAAACTTCGGGAACTTGGTTGGGAAGTTTTAATGCATCCGCCATACAGCACCAAACGATTATCGTACTTTTCTTGCATGGCAAAATTTCTTTAATGATAAAACATCGGTATCTAGGGAGGATTGTAAAAATCGACTACTAGAGTATTTTGCAGATAATGAGCAGGACTTCTATGAGAGAGGCATTATAAGTTACCTTTAAAATTGAAACAAATCATACAACAAAACGGCGCATATTTAGTTCACATCGGACATTCAATTTGCCTGATATTGGATTTACAAATATTAAAAAAATATTAAAATGTTGACCATTTGTGGGGGAGATACTAGAAGGAGTGGACCAATGGTTCCCATCTTCGGACTTGATGTAGGATTGGTGAAGATAATAGGTTGTGCAATGTTTGGTTCAAATATGGCATTCCAATCGCCTGATATTGGACTTAAAAATTTAAAATTCGAAAATTTGGGGGGGAGTTACCAGAAGGAATAGACCAATGGGTCCCATCTTCAAACTTGATCTGGGCTTTGTAAAGGTAATAGGATGTGCAAAGTTTGACATTCCATTCGCCTGATATTGGATTTACAAATATTGAAAATTTGTGGGGAAGGTAGTAGAAGGACCAATGGGTCCCATATTCCTACATGAACTAGGCTTGGTAAAGGTAATTGGTTGTACAAAGTTGCATTACAATCGGATAGTACGTTTACATTTTAATATAAAAGTAATTTTTAGCCCAATTTTGACCAGTTTTTGGGGTAGGCACCTGAAACGGATTTGCCCCAAAGAAACATGGGGCCTAAAACCAATATTACGATGAGGCACATTTTCACCATATCAAAGAGTATATACCCTCATTAGCCATAAGGCTGAGCCATAATTAGTCATAAGACTGAGGGTCTAATAATAATTTTCTTTTTCCTCAACCTAATATATAGAAGAAATTTCTCAGGTCTATAGAAAAAAATGTCACGTCCCCTGAGGTGTGTTTTTTTCTATAGAATGAACATTCGCCAAGTTCCCTGAGAAAATAATTGTCTGGTCCCCTAAGGTATCGTTTTTTCCATTAAAATCTCTGAAGTGTCCTCCCTATGAAAAAAATCTTCAGGACCCTGAGGTGTCCTTTTTTCTATAAAAAAAATCGTCGCGTTCCCTGAGGTGTTCATAAAAAGCATATAAAAAACGTTTAAAATATAATTATCCGTAAAATATAAAATATATTTTTTACTTATCTTTTTTCATATTTGTTTATCTAATTCCAGATACTTATTGGCTGGTCTCTCAACTGGTTCCATTGTTGTATTCCACATCGATTTCAATCGTTGGCATCATGAGTATCAACAACGTTACTAAATCTGTGAATGCGGCCCCCACCTACATACTATGAAAAAAAACGACACCTGACAACCAATCTGGGATTGGCAGGATTGACGAGGACCTCCTTGTCATTTTTACAAAAACAGCAACAACAACAAAAGGATAACCTATCAACAACACAAGTAACTGCTTTGTTTGAAAACAGCAAATACCTTAACAATGACAACAACAAAAACAGTGTAAATGTAATGAAAGTAGAGATAGAAAATAACAACAACAAAAACACTACTCTAGTGGTAAAAACCCCTAATCCTAAACTACAAAAACAACAAGTAAGTTTGTTGGAGTTTCGGTTCTGGCTTTTTAGTTTAAAAAAAGAGAGGATAATCTATTGCAATATGTTTATATATAAATATAATAAAAAACAACAATAACAAAGACAAAAAAGTATATGGAACACAGAGTCACAAGTTAAGTTAAGATTTTTAACTTAACCTTAAAAAAAATGATTGATACTTAGTTTCTAGGTTAGAATAAAGAAGAAAACTAACTAAATAAAACAAAAGTAAATTCTATACAAAAAAGAAAAACAACAACACATGATTCGTAGAAACATTGATTTGAAATTCGTTTGGAAAAAAATAACTTCTTAGAGAAAAAATATTTCGGACAAAATTCAGCAACATTGGACTAAGAAAACATTTTTTCAAGTCCCCAGCAAATATGTAGGAAGAAAATCTGCTACTTAGAAATGGATGAGTCCTGACCCGGAAAACAAGCTATGTAGTTTATCTTTGAAAAAAATTTCAGAAAAAAAACTAGATAACAGCAAATCTAAAGCATTTTCATAGTTTAGCAAAGAGTTACAAAGCGATGAAGACACAAAAATTTACAAAAAAAAAAATATTTTAATAGAGCAACACAACACAAACAAAAATAAATCAGCAACTGAAACTAAGTGGCCAAAAGAGAACGTACTAAAGTAGTATTAATTTTACAAATTAATAATAAAAAAAAATCACAAACATAAAAAATTAAAAAAAAATTAAAAACAAAACATGTGTATTAAAAAAAATTAAAAAAAAGTTATTTCAAAACAATTTGAAATTTAAAAATAAAGGCATAAACAATTGGTAAAATAAAACAACCTAACGAAGAGGATATCTTAAACCACAAGACCTCTATTAAGGTTTAGGATTACAGATATTTTCTCAAAATTCCTCAAAATAAATTTAAAATAAATTAAAATTTGAAAAAAGTAAATTTTTTATACATTAAAAATAAACAAAAAATTAAAAAAAATAATTATATTGTACTTAAAATATGCAAAATGATTTTTGTATATATAAAAAATAAAAATTAAAAATAAAAAACGTAATTATTTAGTAAATATAAATCAGCACATTTTTATTATAATTAAATTTAAAATTAAAAAAAAAAACATAAAACCAGGCCTTGGCTTTCAATCTTTGTTAATGGCCTCCTTAAAAAAAAAAAAAAAACATAAAATCCCCTCCACATTTTCTTTGTGCATACTACTACATACGTCCCCTACAGAATATCTGAAACTAAAATTATTATAAATTAAAAAATGAAATTTAAAAAATAAATAAATAAAAATTAAAAAGCCATTTAATAAAATCACACAATCTTCTTTTTTCACAGTGCAAAACGTCCATTAATTTAAATATTTTTACATAAAAAAATTTATTACACATTTTTGTTGACACTTTAATTAACAACTTTTGTTATGTCTTTGAGACCCCCTTACAGAAAATATAATTTAGTATTTCAAAATATACACGAGAATTTTGTGTACCTATCCTAAAAAAAGAACTTTAAATCCCTCCCTCCTTTTAAAAGGTTTACAATTTCTTTGTCATCTATTTTATTTTGGTATTAATTATAATTATTATATATATTTGTGTATGTATGAATGGTTAAGGTAATTATTATATGTATTATAAGGTACTTATATATGTATTATGTATGTCGTCTTTATGTATCATATTTGTCCCGCCCAATTTTATAACACCCCCTTAAAAGAAAAACAGCACCCCTTCCAAAAAAGGAAATTACCACCTTCCCCGATAATGTCAGTGTTGTTATTAAAATCTTTATGAAATTGGTTGTTTTTTTCACACACACACATTAATTCCTATATTAAAAATAAAAATAATATATAATAATTAAAAAAAAAACAAAATATTAGTCACTTGGTGCAGCGTAAATATTTTTTTCTATAGGAATTTGAATTATTTATTAATTATTTCATTTTCCCCACGTAAGTAATTTATAATTAAATTTTGAAGGTAAAATACACGTCATGGTAATGTTATAAAACGGAATTTTCAGATCCCGAGCCTAAAGATGCTACAATAATTATGACTATATATACACACACATATATATATAGGGTGAGATAAGTCAAGTCAAGCGTCATAATTTTTACACTTTTTTTAATTTTATTGAATGAAAGCAAAAATGTCGGAAATAGCGTCAAATTTTAGATTAAGTTTATATTTGTTCGAATTGGTCACCTTTGGCGCGAATTATGGCCTTCAAACGGCCAATGAAACCATCACACGCTGCCCGATTGTTGCTCTGCGATATTTTGGCCTATTTCCGGCGAAGCGCTTGCTTGAGGTGATCGACACTTTGGTATTTGTTTTAGTGCCAACCTTGCTTTCAAAAATACTCCAGGCACAATAGTCCAACGGATTGGTATCAGGAGATATTGGTGGCCAATGTACGTTGGAAATGAAGCTACGAACCTCATTTTGTAAACATTCTTGGGTGGCGCGTCCACCATGTTTGCGTGCCCAAGGCTTTAATACACCCTCCAGAATATTTTCGCGATAATATTCAACGGATACCAATCCAGGAGATGTTGGTGGTCATTGTGCGCTGGAAATGAAGCTTGGAACCTCATTTTGTAACCATTCTTGGGTGGCGCGTCCACCATGTTTGCGTGCCCAAGGCTTTAATACACCCTCCAGAATATTTTTGCGATAATATTCAGCATTTATTCTGTTGATATTCGATATTAATACGAACGAAGAGCTACCATAGGCTGTTATGGCGGCCCACACCATCACCATGGCCGGCGCTTGAGTTTTGGTGGCCAACCGAAGGTTCACATTTTCAGCTGACCTCTTTGGCAAATAAACACGATCATTTTATTTGTTTACAAACTGCTGGACAACGAAAGTTTTCTCATCGAAGAAAACTAAATTCGTCATTTCACCACTTTCGGTCATGCTCTTTAGCTCTTTTCAGTCTATTTTCTTTCTGTTCCATCGCAAATAATTGTTGTTGCTTTTGTACGCTTGTAAACAATATAATGAACTGTCACTGGAAACATTTTGACAGCTTTCGGATGAGTGGCTTAGAAATGACAGCAGTCTGAAGTTGATTGCAGTTTTTTCATCTCACCCTGTACATATATATATATATATATATAATTATGTCCGGAGGTAAAAATTACAAGTAAAAATTGGGACCTTTGTATATCGAAATACCAATCTACAGATATCTACAAGTTGGAAAATTGGGATAGGACCATAAACAAACACATGGAGAATGACCCGCGATCTTAAATTTTGAACAGGTTATATAAAGAAGTACTCAACCCATTAGGTTCTCGGAATGCCACACTATAACAACATCCCTCATCAGCTTCTGGCTATGTTTTTCAGAGGGTATGAGAAATATTGTTCCCATTTTCCGACTTGGTCTAGATTTGATATCGGATCAAATCGGATAGTGTCAATAGCACCAATGAGAGTGGAAAGATCGTTCCCATTTTCGGACTAGATTTGATATCGGATCAAGTGTAGATTTGATATCGGATCAAATCGGATAGTATCGGTAGTACAAACGAGAGTGGAAAGAATGTTCCCATTTTCGGACTTGGTCTATATTTGATATCGGATAAAATGGGATAGTGAATTGGTTTGATTTTGGAAATGACAAATTTAAAAAATTCTGACATAATCTATGTATAGTAAAAATATGTATTGTAAAGTATAAGTTTTAAAAATTTTGACCCTTTGTGGGGGAGGAACTCTAGAAGGAATTGCCCGACAGGTCCTAATAAACGTGATATTATAAAATAAATTTCCAGAAGGATAAGTCTTCGATTTTGAGTAAATATTATTGTGTATATTCAACAAATCGGATAGTGATTTGGATCAAATCGGAAAGTGAATTTGTTTGATAGAGAATTTGAATCTGGATTAACCAGTTTAAAAAAATTCTGACATAATCTATGTATGCTAAAGTATAACTTTTCAAAATGTTCATCCTTTGCGGGGAAGGAACTCTAGAAGGAATTGCACGGCAGGTCCCATCTTTCTAAAGTATACTATCATGGTTAAAATATTAGATTGTGCAATGTTAAGGTGAAAATGGCAAGTCCGTTAACGGACGGTATAATATAATAAATTTCCAGAAGGATGAGTCTTCAATTTTGAGTAAATATTATTGTGTACAAAGTTTGAACAAAGTCGGTTACTACCCTCGAAAGAGTGTCGTGAGCACAAAACATCCAGACAGGCACAAACATATGGGCGGCCATTTGTAAGTCGAATCCAAATTATCTGAAACGAATTAGGAATAATTATATCGACTTTCGACTAATCAATTAATCGACTATTTGCATTGAAAATTCTAATAGACTTTTCAAAATCGACTTACGATATTCTTGATAAATACTTGGTTTATTATCACAAAGCCGAAATTGCCCAAAAATTACACATTCCAGGACTTTATTTCATCTGTTGACAACAATTTTTATAAAAACAAATAAATTTTTTAGTCGATTTTGCTCTAGTTAGTAGAAGTCGAAAATCGATTTTGAACAGGTTTGACAAATTCAAAAGATCAAAAGTCGAGTTTTTAGCCAAAGACAAAAATCGAAAAGTCTAAAAATCGACTTTAGCTCACGACTACGTATCCCTAAAACGAATTTGGTCCAACAGAAACATGGGGTCTAAAACCAATATTTCGATGAAGCATCTGTTTGTCGTAACAATGTGAATACACTCTGATTAGCCATAAGGCTT